GAGTCCTTTTCTGCTCTCGCTGGATCACAGTGGTTTTCTGTGATGGACCTCAAGTCAGGTTACTATCAAATAGAGATGTGTGAAAAGGATAAACCTAAAACTGCTTTTGTTTGCCCGTTTGGGTTTTATGAATTTAACCGTATGCCACAAGGAATAACAAATGCTCCAAGCACTTTCCAACGGGTTATGGAAAAGTGTATGAAGGACATTAATCTGAAGGAAGTGTTAGTTTTCCTAGACGACTTGATCGTCTTTTCCAACTCCTTGGAAGAACACGAAACCAGACTTTCTCACGTTCTTGAACGGCTTAGAGAATACGGACTCAAGCTATCACCAGATAAGTGTCGTTTTTTCCAGACATCTGTGCGTTATCTTGGACATATAGTATCTCGAGATGGCATAAAAACCGATCCAGATAAGGTGGAAGCACTCAAAACATGGCCGAAGCCTCAGACTTTGAAGGAACTCCAATCTTTCTTAGGATTTACCGGTTATTACCGACGCTTCGTTAAAGATTACTCAAATATTGTCAAGCCACTAACATCTCTCACGGCTGGTTATCCACCCAAACGGAAAAACTTTAAAACACCACCATGTAGATCAAAGTACTTGAACCCCAAAGAACCCTTTGGGAATCGTTGGAGCCAAGACTGTGAGAAGTCCTTTCAAACTATTATTGAAAAACTTACCACTTCGCCAGTTCTTGGCTACGCTGACGCAAAACTCCCATATCTAGTACACACAGATGCTAGTACGACCGGACTCGGTGCAGCGCTATACCAAGTGCAAAACGGTGTCACACAGGTAATCGCTTATGCAAGTCGCGGTTTAAGCTCTAGTGAAACTAGGTACCCTGCGCACAAGTTGGAGTTTCTAGCCTTAAAGTGGGCCATAACAGATAAGTTTCATGACTATTTGTATGGGAACACATTCACTGTCATTACTGATAATAATCCGTTAACTTACCTCTTAACAACGGCAAAACTCGATGCAACGAGCTATCGTTGGCTAGCTGCGTTGTCCACCTATAATTTTGACATCAGATACCGTGCAGGTACACAGAACGTTGACGCGGATGGCCTATCTAGGAGGCTGCATGATAAACCTGAAGACAACTCAAAATTCACTGAGGAATGCCAACGACTAGATGAGTTCCGATCTCATCTTTTATCCTCTGTCAAAGAAGTCGAGCTTCAACTTCAAGCCGAAGCAGTGAAGGCAACATGCCAAAAGCACATGGTCTTGGATGAGACTGATTCTCCTTGTGGTTTAGTTCAGTCACTTGCCATGTCTGCAGCGGCCATTCCAGACCTATTCCAGTTGGAAGACAATAGTGACAGTTTCTTTGCTGTGCCCAAGTATAACCATGCTGACCTTGTCTCCTTGCAGAGGAAAGATCCAACCATTGGCCGAGTCATTCAGCTGCTTATGACTGACAATAAACCGCCAACTGATACTATTGCAGAACCCCCGGTGGTTCTTAACCTTTTGAGAGAGTGGAAACGGTTTGAGTTTCAAAATGATTTACTGTACCGGAGACGCCAATTAGGACCAGAGACATCATTGCAGTTAGTCTTGCCTGATTCATTACGTTCAACAGTCATGCAAAGCCTACATGATGATATGGGGCATCTTGGGGTTGAACGTACGACAGATCTCATTCGGTCCCGTTTTTACTGGCCAAGAATGGCTAGTGATATCGAAATCAAAGTTAAAACTTGCGAAAGATGTATCCGTCGGAAGGCCCTCCCTGACAAAGCTGCTCCAATGGTGAGTATTACCACCACCAGACCTATGGAGTTAGTTTGCATGGATTTTCTCTCCATAGAACCAGACAGTAAGAACACTAAAGATGTCTTAGTGATTACAGACCATTTTACAAAGTATGCAGTGTCCATCCCAACCAAAGATCAGAAAGCCACCACCGTCGCGAAGAACCTGTGGGAACATTTTTTAGTCCACTACGGGTTTCCTGAGCGTCTTCATAGTGATCAGGGACGGGATTTCGAATCACGTACAATCAAGGAACTTTGTTCTTTACTTGGTATCCGTAAAGTCAGAACGAGCCCTTATCACCCTCGTGGCAACCCCGTTGAACGGTACAATCGTACATTACTCAGCATGTTGGGAACTTTACAAGCCACTGAGAAACATCACTGGCGCGATTTTGTAAAACCACTTACTCACTCGTACAATTGTACAAAAAATGACGTGACGGGATACTCTCCCTACGAGCTAATGTTCGGTAGGCAGCCTCGGTTGCCTATAGATATTGCCTTTGGGTTACCGCATTTGAACAAGCCCTCTATAACTCATTCTCAGTATGTTAAAGAACTGAAGAGTCATCTGGAACAGAGTTATGACATTGTCATAAAAAACTCTCAAAAAACAGCGAGGAAGAACAAAGAACGGTTCGACAGAAACATTCGTGAGTCCACACTAGGTGTGGGAGATCGTGTTTTAGTCCGAAATCTTCGCTTAAGAGAAAAGCATAAATTAGCAGACAAATGGGAGCAAACAGTGTATATAGTTCTCAAACAGATGGAAAACTTGCCAGTATACACTGTAAAACCAGAGAACGGAGAAGGACCCAACAGAACACTCCACAGAGATCTTTTACTGCCTTGTGGTTTTCTCTCTTCATTAGAAAATGAAACAGAACGCGTTACGAAACCTAGCAGACCTCATACAAGACAGAGTTCAGCCTTAGAACCTGACCCAGATGAGCCACTTGACGAAGAGGTAGATGAGTTTTATTACTCTGATCTTCCACAAGTGCTAAACCGACCATCCTATCAAATAGCGGTCACCTTGCCAAATAGGGAACTCATAGCAGATTCAGGACCGGTAAATAATATTCAACAACAAAACACACTATCCTTACACACAGGGGATCGCAAGGAACCAACCTTAGCTGGTAATGAAAATGCTGAATTGTCCTTACTTGACAAAGGCATCAACACCGAAACATTCTTACCTGACAGAATGAGTGAAACTGCGACATTCTTACCTGAAAGAGTGAAAGAAGCAGCAACATACTTACCTGGAAAAACGAAAAAAAACGAAGTATACTTACCTGACGTAGAAACGGGGGATGAAACTAACACAAACCTACCTCAATTGGATGGTGTCCTAAAGTCGCAGCAACGTGATGTAAGTTTTGAACCCATCATACACGATCAGACACATACATCTGAAAAGACCAAAGTCTTAGAGAATAGCTCATCAGCTCTGTCGGAAACAGAGAGCTCACTTCGTCCTGTCTCAGTTGAGAATCAAACCGAAACGGATGAGCATGATACTGTGCAACCAGAGATGTATGTCAGGAGATCTGAACGAAGTAGTCAGCCTCCTCAAAGACTAACTTACTCTCAATTGGGCAATCCACTAGTGACCGTAGTTAGGTCCCTTTTCCAAGGACTTAATAAAGCTTTTATTGACTCTGTTACTCAAGAAGTTGTGTACCCCGTAGAAACAATGCACAGGGACGTGCATGATATTTAATGGGGGAGGATGTAACCCAGAAGCTAGAACCTTAATGAGGTATTAACTAATTGGCTTACTAATATGATCCATCCTCAATTTAGATAAAATATAAAATATAAATTAAGGAAATTAACAATACTAATTAATAGATATCTAATTAACTAATAGATAATTTCATAATGAATTATTGGAAGGGTGAATAACTAAAATAACGAGTTTAATATTAAACATCGGTTAAAACAAGAATCTTGAACATCCCTAACAGAAACAGAAGAGGAAAGCTGTATACTATTGGTCCAGGTGGGAATCTGAAATTTCATTGGCTGAGAGAAATAAGTCCCGCCTCCGCGAAATAAAACCGTGCGACGCAGCTGAGCGAGAGGAGAGACAAACGGCTGTGCAGCACGCAGATACAGAAAGCAAAGACTGAGCGGTTAGAGAGAGAGAGAGAGAGAAAAAAAAACAACGGTCGAGGCCGTGAAGAACCCTGATTTGGGTGCCGCATAGATAGAGGGAGAGGCGGACTTGACTCCTTCTAATAAGAGCTAGGAACTTGGAACCAACGCGATTTGTGTGGAGACGACAGAGTGAACCAATCCTCTGTAGGAGGGAACCGTTGGAGCGCGTTGGCTGGGTTTTTTTTTTTTTCCTTGGGTTTGATCCCGACTCCTATGATCACTCACTTGGAACGAGAACTGGATTTCTTCCTGACGAGGGAGATGGCGAGCCTTAACCACTGAACGAACCAGGACATCTCAAGTAACTGAAGAGCAGACTGCTCTCTTCTGTGAACAATCTCAACGGTGCGGTAGGAAAAAATCGCACCACCGGACTCTGACTTTCACCCCAAGCGTGGGGATTTGACTTGACGCCGGCTGACTTGTGACTCATATGATCAAATCTCATACCGACCATTTTACTATTGTCGATTGTTTTCATCTGTTTTTGTGTGTTATCTTTATGTGTTATATTTCCCATTATTATTAAAATTTAGTATATAAACCGTTTCATGCTATACCCGTGACTCCAGTCATTCTTAAACAACCTCCAATTCTCCCCGAACCTAATTATTGGCCCATTTGTTTATTTTTTCTTTTAATTATCTTATTGTATCCTGTAATCCGGTTACAAAAGCCAAAGAATGTGTTACTGAAAACTTATTTTTAAAAAGGATGAATGTGCTTTTGTTTGATATTAAACAATTTAAATCTGAGTTTTCTGCTTTCTTCTTGGTGGAGAGAATTTGGTAGAGTAAATGTAAACTTCCTTATCTCTGCTTTTGAGCTAGAACTGACATGAATCATTAATATATCTGCATCCAGTGACTTAGATATGAGCTGCAGGATGTGAGAAAAATGAAAACTATACTGTTGCGTTTCATTAAAACCTCTCATTCTTGGAAAAAAAAGGAATCTCAAAGTCAAATTCAACTAAGTTGTGGTCTGTTTTTGAACTTCTGATCGAGTCACGTCTCGTGTTTATGTCATCATGTGAGACAAGCAGCATAATCTCACCTCCAAGCGCTTGATCTGAGTCCTCTCATACTCCAGTTTGGTCTCCAGCTCGCGGATTTTGGCCTCCTGACGGCTCACCAGCGACTTCTCCACCATGGACTGCTCCTGGAACTCTAACTGGCTCTGCAGCGAATGGAGCTGGAGGAATATCACACAGCAAATGGGGAACACCTTCAGTCACCAAGGAGGAAAAAAAAAAACTCTCCAGTTTCCACATCCTCTCCTTTTGTGTGAACAACCCTCAAGAGGAAGTATTGATGTTACGTGGTACGTCCTGAAAATAAATTACCATTCACTTTTTCAACGATTTTCTGTTAATTTACTCGCTCTTGGTAAATATAAATAAGGTGCATCCAGTCTGAATAATGAGTTTGAGATAAGCCCCCATTCTGCCCAAAACGGTCAGAAAAAAACCAAGCCTGTGGTTCAGGCTGAGTAACAGCGAGTCACGGTAATTTCACAGGCTTTGAAAGGCTTCAGCTTCATGCAAAGCACGTTTGTTCTATCTAAATCCCTTTTCCCCATGACTGATAAAAGGAAGATAGACACGTCACAATAAAACTGGCCTGAAAGGCAGCAGGGCACCTAATGAGGGACTTCTGCATCTGAGACAAGGAGGATTTGAAGTTCTCCTTTGATATTACTAAAGAAGGCAGATTTCTCTCCAACTGGGAATGAGATAAACACTTCAAGGTCAGATGCTTTAGATAACAATCAGCGCCTACTCTGGCACATTTTAACCGTGGCTTGCAGCCTGCTGTGTAACTCAAGTGCAGCCAGAAAAATTGGGATGTGTGGGCCGGGAGTGACTTCGGCACACGTATACTTTAACAGAAGAGGGAGATGATGCGCTGTTCAGGAGAGGAAGGAGCTGGGATCAGAGCTATGAGCCACACACTGTTTACAGCAGATGGTTGTATTTGTTTAATCCACTGCATCTCATCAGCTGTAGCCGCTTTATCCAGTACAGAGCTGCAGGAGGCTGCCGGCTACGGCCCCAGCTAGCATGGGGTGAGGGGCGGTGACAGTCCAGTTTGAGACTAACAGAGTCTTAAAATCACCTCAAAAGGCAGAAAACTCACAAGCAAAGGGAGATCAATCTAAATACATATTGAAAACCCTAATCTGACCAGCGGTTTTCAGAATAAAACGTCTTCTCGTGTGAAGCATCAATTAAAATAGAGAGATTTGACCTAATCCATGCAGACAGAGAAGACTGACAATTTCTAACACAATTCCAACTTAGTAGCGAGGAGAAATGAAAAATCTCTTTTGCATCAACAAAGCAAATGTGTATGCATTAATATGTGACACACCTAACGCGGTAAAGGTTATTCTCTGAACAAATGGTACTCCATTAGAGAAACACGATGAAAGCTCTATTATAAAAACAGACCTAACTCGGCAGCATTAACCTTTACACCCCATGAATCTACATTTATTCAGAACACCAACCATTAGCAGACACCTCATCGGGTGCAGTAATTTAGCCAATCAGCTCAAAGATGGGAGAAGAATCACAGCTTTAGACATCTGAGGCTGGTTTAGGTTTAATTAAAAGCTTCTGGTTGAGGAAACGAGTGAAGGTTTGACCAACATGCCAGTGTCAGCATGCTAACAGGTTCACAGTGACGACGTTAACATGCTGATGCGCAGCCAGTAAAATGTGACCCGTGCATTTCTGAGTCATTACTGCCAAGCCATCTGCTGGTTGTTGAAATATTTCACTGACTAAGTGAAAATGTTGACCTGCCAGTGATGCAGAAGGGAAATGTCAGAGGATGACCAAAGTCAACGGGGTTCATTTTCTGTCAAAGTGCATCTAGACAGACAAAGGTTAGGTCTGGAGCATCACGCAGCACCTAATGTTAACGCAGGTGATGGTGAAGGCCACTTTAGAAAAGTATATCTTAATTTAAGGAAGGAGATTAATCTTTTTAGTATATGGGGTAGACCGCTACACCTGCCTTATTTTTACATTTACGCACTATATGTTGGTAGTGTGTGGTTAAAGCAGAACATGAAGATTAAAGTTTATGTGGGCAACACAGAGGGCATACAACCATGCACGCACCCCCAAGATAACTGTGGGAGGATGCTGGAGTGTCTAGAGAGAACCAAAGCGTGCACATGGAGAACATGCAGCCAGAGCCCAGGCCGGGATTCAAACCCGGGACCTTCTTGCTGCGAGGTAACAGCGCTAACCACTACGTTGCATTTTCAAACTGGAGTTCATTTGTTATTCTGTGGTTCTGAACTTGCAACTCGTTATTATTTCAGTAAGCTTAGTATCCAACCTCCGAGAGCTTTTGATTTGAAAAAATATTTAAAATGTGGACCAGAACATAGTGAATTAATTAAAGGGACGTGTTATTAAAGGCTCCTGTACATGCATCACAGTGCATATTAATTGACAGCCCACTGGTTCCAACAAAATATGGGTGACATTTAAAAAATGATTTGGTTGTGAACGACTGCTGCAGTAGCCTTTTTTAAATGTGTGAAAGTAAATTGGCACATTTACGGTTTTCCAGTTGACTGGAATAATCAGAGTACACAAGATTATGGTTTTGTTTTTTATATTGTGTCCTGTTATTATAAGCAAACCCCTGAGAAGAATCTGACAGGTTTTATTCAACTAAAAGAGCTGTGACGGTATTAAACCAAAGAACATAAAAACACTCAGATATGAGATTGAGACAGAAGGCGTCTTAATTTGTAATCATTAAAACCGTCTGGATGAATGTTTCAACTCCATGTAACTGGGCTGCTGAAACATACCCTCTTATGAGACCCGAGAGGCAAAAAGAGCATTTTCCCTCAGTGACTCTAAATTTTAACACACTCCAACTATTTGCATGCAGATTGCATTGCTATTCTGTGAGGAAAGCTGCCACAGAATCCCGGCATTTTTGGTCACAATAATCAGAGAAGGCTTGTGAAAAGCCGAGGCCTAATCAGTGTAAGTGTAGAGGCAGCAGGCGGGTTCCCGGGAGGCAGCCATGCTGCTTCTCAATACTTCCTTGCACTGTACCTTTTCTTGGATCTCCTGCTTTTCCTTTGTGGCTTCTTCCAGCTGAGCCTGTAGGTCACTGATCTGGCTCAAGTCCCTGGCAGACTGTCACATGTGCAGAAAGCAGAAAATCAACAGTTGAAGAGTTTGTGCACAAGACAAGAGCTGTGTGTGTTTAGGAATATTTAAATTATGTGTGCAGAAGTGGAAAAAAATCACTTCTAATGTTAATGGTTCGTGAAAACAGCAGGTCCGAGTTCAATAATTTGTCATGTGGTTTGTTGTAGGGCAGACTTCTCTGATTTCAGAGCTCATGCTGTGTTTAGAGGAGAGTATGTCCTCGACACAGAGCTGGAACTCGAATGCAGAGCAGAACAAAAAGTTAATGCCGATCCAAGAGGTGCTAGACCTCGGACTTTACAACTAAATGTTAAAGAGGTCATATTATGCTAAACTCTCCTCCTGCATCCTTTTGTGCTGCCATGTGGGTCTCTACTGCCTTCAAACCTGAAAAAAATACAATCCATCCGTTTTCTACCAGTTTGGTTTTAGAAATTATGTGCCTAAAACAAGCCATTTCAAAAAGTCCCTATTTGTGACATCATAATAGGAAACATTTTCACAGAACCCCCTTTAATGGGGAAAAGAGAGCTGCTGCTGTAGAAACAGCAGCTCTACTCCAAGTCCCTCCCATATCAGAGCCTCTCAGTTTACAGCAGCCTCAGTAGGAGATGAGTGGGCGTGACAAGCTGCAGCTTGTTTTCTAAAAGTGACAGAGCCCTTAAGCAGCTCATTCTGGAAGGTAATAAAAATGACAAGAATAAATCAGCTGAAACAGCTACATGCGAGACAGATTTAGTGTAAAAAAAGTTCATGAAAATGTTTTGCATAAAACAGGAATAACCTTTCCTGGTCCTCGAGGGCCACTAGCTAGCATGTTTTGTTTATCTGCTCCAGTACATTCGATTCAATGGCTGAATCAGCTGTTCGGCAGCTCATGAAGCTCTGCAGAAGTCTGTTAATCACCTGCTGAAATCGTGTGTTGGAGCAGAGAAACAACTAAAGCAGGCCGGATAGCAGTCTTCAATGTCGATATCCCTGGTATCTATCAACTTAAGAGAAGGTAATGATACATCCAGTTCAAATAAATGCAGGAACACAAATTATTTTCCCACATTTAAAAGGAATAAAACAGTTTTTGTAAACACATTTAAACAAGTTGAACCACCTGTGCAACAGCAGCTTTGTGTTTCTTCATCAGCTCGTTCATGTCCTCTTGATCCTCCTCCATGCGTGACTGCAGGTCATTCTTCTCCCTCTGCAGACGGCTGACCTGCTCCTCCAGCTAAGTGACAAACAGAGAAGGAAGTGCGCTTTAGTATGGAATGACAGGATTTATTCATGAGCTGTTAAATATAATAAATGATCATTAGCTGGCCAGGCCGTGGCGGTGCTGCAGTCTCATCTAATGGCAATGAAACACAATCTGGACAGGGTTCTGGCTGGAGGATGACACCAATTGAAGATAATCAATTGGCTCATTTAGGCGTGGAAAAGTGCAGTGCACTGGTGATGTCCTAGTTGGAGTTCGCTGCTGTTTGGTATGCATCCTCTAATCTCAGACATTTAGGAGACCATCCCTTGCCATAAATGTAGCAATTAAAAGCTAAAACACAGGCAACACAGCACAGTGTGTGTCATCCCAAGAGACACAAATATCCTCAGTCTATGACTCTAAAATGTAGGCAGAACTCTCATGAGACAGCTATTAATGAGCAGACTGAGGAGGAGGAGAAGACAAATAACACATTCGACAAAGCTCATTTATCCATTAGAGCAAAAATGTTGAAATCAGACATATGCCAAAGGGCGTTTATTATTTTAATATCCCAGCATGGCTCGATGTATGCATATTAATGAGAACCCTACTGCATTTTGAAAAGAGAGAATTTGATATGCACAGGCCCTTAAGTAATTAAACATGGTTGCTTTCTCTCAAAAGAAGAAGAGTTTAGAAGCATTTCTGCAAAAACCGAGTGTTTAAACCACCGTTGAGTCCTTCTGCATGCACTACGAGATTTAAGTATAAAAAGTTGTGTTAGATGAGCGATCAGCATTTAGGGTCACTAATCACAGTCCTAGTGTTTGTGAAAACTCACAGAGATCTTCGTTTTCACCACGTCCTCCATCTGGATGTGCAAGTCCTCTATCTCCATCTCCATGATCTTCCGAGCTTTTACTGCTGTTGCACAAGTGAACTCTGACTCCTCCAGCTGAGAGACGCAGGTGGAAAGGTGAAGAAAGTAAAGGACAAACGTGACGTTTTCTAAGCTTTTTTTCTTAGATGTTTATTTATTATGTAATATGCTGTCACTGAGAAGGAGGCTGAGTGAGAAGGAAACGCTTCTCTGGATGACGTACTTGATTTTTGAGCTGGACTATCTCTCTCTTGCTGGGGGAGTTGCTCTTAAGGTGGTCCAACATGATCTGGGCATCAGCCAGAAGAACTTTAGTTCTCTTTAGGTCTTTCTTCAACCTCTTCTCCGTCTCCACGTCCCTCTGGCCCACCTGAATGACAGAGCACCCTCCTGCAGTCATCACCATCACACACGACCATCTTCCCCTCTTTAAGACTAGCGCCGCCTCTCAGGAATCCAAAGTGTTTTATTTCCAATCAAAAGAAGTGGCCTACATCTCTCTCACACACACACACACACACACACTGAACAGCACCAACACAGAGCAGAGACTGAGTGAAGGGAATACCTGGTCTTGGGCAATCACAAGTTTGGACTCCAGGTCTCTTCTGTCACGCAAGACTTTCTGCTTGTCGTCGTACTCCTCCTCCAGCTGCACCTCCATCTGCTTCAGCTGCAGGGCACAGAAATGTCAACACACATCTAGATTGATGATGTAAACGCTTGAGTTTTCTAATTAATTTGGGCTTGTTCTCTGATAATGAAGAATTGTCCTCAGCATTGTATAATTATTAAAGAGTCAGAGAGCTGAAGCAAAAGCTTTGAAGCTCTCTTCCTACAATTCTGTTTCTGGCCTTTTCTCTTTTTGCTCATGTTCATTCCTTGCAGGCTAAAAACGACAGTTCTTGTCACGATGTGTGGGAATAGTATGCTTCTGCCTTTTGTTTAGCAGAAAATAAAGAAAATCTTTTTTCCTTTTAAAAGTGACAATGTGTAGTTTTTACCATTAATCTGGAAATATCCATTGAAATGTTGTTGTAAATGACTTAAAATGTATCAAGTTGTTGAAAAATATTGGCGGTTTCATAGCATATAATCATAAAAATCAGGTCTAAAATACATGGGAGCAGGTTTAAATCTCTGGAAGACGCCATATTGGATGCAATGTTTCCTCCTACGGAAGCCCGCGAGAACAGAATGTATTTACTGATTTGTAACAAAAGGTTACAAAACTTTCAGCATTAATCCACGTTCTTTTACACGTTTAGCTCTTCATTCGCTGCAAGTGATGAAAGGTAATCTAATGTTCCTGCTATTTTGCTGGAGGTTGCACTCCAAATGATTTTTAACCCTACTGGCCATCCACTGGGAAGGTCTTACTTGAACACAAAAATGATCCTTGCTTGCAATGATTTAGGTATCTACTGCCCCCTATCGCAAGGGAAACTACACACTGTCACTTGAATCTCCTGATAAGTACAAAGTAAGAAAGTCTCCAGTTAGGAGCTCTGCAGAGTTCACAGTAGAAACATTTCTCAAAGTTCACACGATTACACAGTGTCTGACTAAACTGGCATTTTGATATATTTTAAAGATGTGGAACACATTTCGCCTCAGATTGGACAACAGCAATATGACTCTACACTTATTTGCAACGTTGATCTTTATCTCCAGAAAAACAAATACAAATTTGAAAGAGTTCCGCCATGCTGTGGAGTTGCTAATGCTAACAGTTAGCTTCTACTAGCCGAGACATCATTCCTCGTCATCAAGATGTGTCCATGAATGTTAAGCGAGTGTGATTTCACAGTGTCAAACTTTTCAAATCCTATTTTCTATTCAAAACTAATGCAGGAGATAGATGTAGGAGACTAATTTCATGTTCTGCCTGCTTCAAAACCTCAGAATGACAGATTATAATCAGGATTAATAATTAAAAAATGTGTTTTCAGTGTTCCACACCCTTAAGGTTCAAACTGTACAAATTACACATGATGATAATAATAATAATAATAATAATAATAATAATAATAATAATAAATATTATTTGAGGGCTTCTTCCTAAGAGCCAAGGAATAAAATCAAAACCAACATTTTGGTCTTTTTTCACCCACCAGATCCCTCAGAACTTTATGTTTTCTCTCACATCACTTCAGAGTGCAGAGAGTGCCCACCCAATCTTCAAAGGTCAAAAGTAATATTTTAGCTCTAAATATTCTCTTCATTCCTAAAAGGGAAGTGTCTCTTTGGTCATGACATCTAAATAAAACCCAGTAGAAACATTCAGAAACATCTGAGCCATTAAACAACATATTAGAGACTCGGAGGGGAAAAAATAGAACCAGGAGAATAAAGTTGAAAGCACCACAAATGTCAACAAATCGCAATGGGAAAATATTGAAATGTCCAGAAAAAGACGTCTAAACATAATTTAAGGAAAATGTCCAAATAATATTTCCAGAAAAAAGTGGTGTTTTTCTTCTGCCAAAAGAAATGTCAGGAAAAAAGTAAATATATAAATATATTTTGAAATAACTGGTAAAAATAACGTGTGAAAAAATAATTAACTAAAGTGGGCATTTCAGGAAAGTAAGGAAGTAAACCTCATTATCATGACTGTACCTGAAGGATCTAGATGTGTTTGGTATTCCAGCATTTATTTTCTCCTCACAAAGGCACTAATAGGCCTCCATAAAGCCTTCAGCTACTCATTATTTAATTTTAAAATAAATCTCATTGTTTTCACATAACCGTTAGTCCAAAGCCTCCTTTTTATTCCTTTTCATTAAGTTTACTGTGATATTGGATTTTGAGCAGCAGCCGCTTCTTCAAAAGTTTTCACTTTATTGAATATTAGTTTTCACTATTTTCTGAAAGACACAAAATTTCTGCTGGAAAAGGGTTTTTTTAGAATAAACGCGTACTTGAACAACCAGTCCATGAACATGTCGTACTTTTCAAAGAGCACGAGGAACTTTAGGACATCTGTGAACATGAGATTATGTTTCCCAGTGTTTTCTAAATCTGGCTCGGATAATTGTCAATCTGGAGAACAGAGGCTTTGAATAAGAACAGACTATTAAACAAAGACTGAAAATTAGCTCCGCCTACCTTCTTACTGCAGGAGCGCCTGATTTCCTCCACCTCCTCATCCTTGCTCTCAATCTCTTTGGAGTGGCTCTGCCGCTGCCGCTCCATCTCCATCTCAAGTCGCAGCTTAGCCTGAGTATGAGGAGACACACAGCTCATGATATGATGACAGACAGGGCTGTAGCAAACTTTTCAGTGTGGGGGATGTTGACAGAATTATATATATATATATATATATATATATATATATATATATACACACACACACACACACACACACACACACACACACACACACACACACACACACACACACACACACACGCAAACATATTTACAACTATAGTACAGTGGGCATAATTCTGAATGGTTTTGAAATAATAATTACTACCTTAAAGTTATTTAAAATGCAATTTTTTAATCTCTTTTATTGGCTCCAGGGAGACTGTGACCAGAAAAGCCCCAGCTCTGGGGCAACTCCTGGATCTCTGGGACTTGGAGCTCCCTCCGTCTCCTGCACATCTTTAGGGGGCAGATCTGTGGCCCCTCACACTCTCTATTGGACGCTCCTATAGAGAATCCTTACATATACAAGTGCGTGTACACACACAGGTGCTCACATGGTGCTCTCATAAGTATGGACTTGGGCACGTTCAACACAGGTCTTAAGGCTGTGGTTGGCACTTAATACACTGTGATTTATTATCGTGTGATTGTTCAGTTAAACAATGTTGATTATACATTTCTTCTTCAAGTTGATGCAGTGATAGCTTGATCTTGTTGCATTGTTGTTGTGTCCCATTTTTTGTTTTTGTTTGTTTTGTTTTTTTTTTGCTTTTTTTCTTCTCTCTTTCTGCAGGTCTAGAAGCAGATTCTTGTTCATTATTGTTTATTTTGTGGAACAGCCATCCCAGTCATGAGTCAAGATGGGTGAGTCAGTGAATGCTTATGTACAGTCTGATGCAGATCTCAGTGGCTTTTTCTGACCCGAGCGTTTTCCCATCTACTTTAATTTAGCAGCAAATGCAGGAAATAGGTGTAGAAGACTTTTCAGAATCAGCACGCATGTGAAAGTTGATCATATTTTATACATTTTTTAGTGAACCACATCTTTAAGCTCTAAGAAAAGCGAAACTTCTTAAGATAAAACTCTAAGAGCTACAGAAGGAGATTGCTGCATTAAAAATAATCAGTACCTGCTCCAACATTTGTATAGATCCAGCCTGTTCATCCAGCTCCTCCTCCTGGTCTTTCACCTTCGCCTCAAGGTCATGAATCTGCTTCTTCAGCTTGGCCAGTGAGGCCTCATCCTTGGACTCCTGGGAGGACAGATCCTGCAACTCTTCCTCCAGTTGATGAACTTTCACATTGGTGGCACAAAGCTCAGTGTCCTTGTCCTGCAGGTGGAAGAGACTCATCAAGGTTTCCATCCTGATCAGCACTGGTATAGGAATAGGGGCTGGAGACAGGAGACACTAACCTGCAACTGCTGGCGGAGGTTAAATATCTCACCAGTAATAATGTCTTTCTCTCGAGCCAGTTTCTCCCGCTGGCTCTTTTCTCTTTGTACCTCAGCCTGAGCCTGGCTCTGCTCCAGGTCAACTCTGGAGCACAAACAAGGGCACAAGCATGCTGAACAACAACACAAAAAAAAAATTCAATTTGGATGAAACCTAAAATTTTTTGGGGGGGAGGAACAACAACTCATATGCAAATGTTGCACATTAAAGTTACAAATGGCAAAAATTATTAGACAAACTCTAAATGGAAAGTAAAATGAGTTTTTAACATGTGGCTCCATTCCTGTTTAAATTCTGTTGGTCATAGATTTAGAACAGGATTTTAATAATCTGCTAAGTGTTTCCTTCAAATGTCTGGGGCAGAAACACTTATTGTTAGTGAACTTAACAGCTAAGTGTTTCATGCTGACAGCTCGTCGTAATTCCCTGTATTTCTCTCTGAAGTGCAGCTGAAAATAATTTCACCCACAGAGCATCTTCAATTAGCCACAGGGGAGAGATCACATTCTGCCACAGCGATAGCTTCTCAAGTGCTTAAAGTCTAAGTCATTTTCTCCGCTAATGCAATTCCACAGATTACAGCCCATCTCGGCAACTGTTCAAATTACAGAAAACTTCAGCGTTGTGTCGAGTGGGCTCGCGCCCGGGCAATCCCAGGGGAACAGAACGGCAAGTTTTCTGTGACGCGTGTTTGTAATTAAAGAAAAGCCTAGATGAAAAGGCAGCTGGAGTGACAAGAGGACGCTGGAACTGACTTCCTCTGTTTCTTCTCCAGATCGTGGTTTCGGCTCTGTAGGCCCTCCAGGTGAAGCTTGGTGTCCTGCAGCTCGGCCGTCAGCTTCTGGCATTTCTTCTTCAGCTGCTGCACGGAGCGCTGCAAATCCTCATTATCTGTCTGTAAATTAGCCAGCTGCAGCGCACACACACACACACACACATTAGCATCTTTATTAATAATCTGTGACAGCTCAATGCATATTTGTTACATCAACTCTAGTTAGATTTTTAGGGTTAACGACGTTCTTAAAGGGGACATAAAGACTTATTTAATAAGTGATAATAGTTCTATGATCCCAATCATGTTTATAAAGATCTTTACACAAAAGCCCTCTCTCATGAACAGATTTCAGCAGTTTTTTTATTGACATTTTCAGTGCCTTCCACAATGAGCTGTTTCAGAGCTTTGTCATTTTAAGACAACAAATTTTAGCGGGCCACACCTACCCTTGGCTCAAGGTGTTATCGACCCTTTGTGCATGGCAGCACGCTACTCATGGGACTGCATCTTTCACCGTGACGGACATCAAAGGAGCTATTTACTCCCTTTAAAACTCTGTTAAACTAGTACAAAACAAGCTAGTTTGTAGCCTTTTATTTTGTTCATTTCACAGTAAAACATTAATAGTTTGCTGCATGGTTGGGGGGTGTAAACCCTACTTGTCTTTATATCAAATAACTGATAGACAGCAGCCCTTAAAGTATTTTCGTATTTGCTGTAAACACTAGTGATGACTGGGTAAGATTAACATTCATATTAGCTCCTTCCACACTAGAGCCGGCTCCACTCCGCTCAGTCAGCCCCAGCCCACCCCACCCCACCCGGTCTCCAAAATTGGCGCAAAGATATCAGTGATGTCATGAGCGCATCTCCGAGCACGTGAGCGGGGCACAAGATGGAGAAGTCTGCGGTGTCTCCCTTGAAATAAACAAAGGCAGCCGTGAGCAGTGTTGCTTTTGGAGACTCAGACACTGGTATTGCTTCCAGGCTGCTGTGTCTGACCTGGCGCAGCTCAAGCCTGTCAGCACTGTGTGTGTGTGTGTGTGTGTGTGTGTGTGTGTGCGTGCGTGCGTGTGTGCGTGCGTGTGCATGCGTGCGTGCGTGACATTGATAGCAGTCAGAGGCTTGTTTACTCCACCGTATCCAGAACGATCATGAATCGCGCATGTGGGAAGCCCCTGCTGGCTGACTATCCAACAGAGGATCCCCCTAATGGTAGGAATGAATTTAAGCTGGCCAATCAGTCGGCAGTGGGCGTGTTAACAAAAAGAAATGTGATCATATTTTTTGTATTGAATTGATAATCTTAAATTTAACTTTTGTGGTGCATCTGTGTCCACTACAGTGAACTTCTAGATGTTAACAGTATTGTTTCAATGTAGGACTATGTGTAAGATAATTACATTATTTAGATTTATGAGCTTTGAGATTTCTTGTACCCCCCTACTGTGAAAGTAGCAGCTAGTCCTGGTGACCTAGTCAGTAGGGGAAAAAAATCCCACATGCAGATGTATCTTGCATGTGAGATAGTTTTATGCTAATTTCCTGATTTGTGACGTCACAAACGGGGGACTTTGGGAAACGGCTCGTTTTAGGCATATAATTCCTAAAACCCTACACTGACCAAATATTAAGATGAATTTTTGGCATGTTTGGGAGTGTTTATAGAGCCAGTAGTGCCCACATTGCAGCACAAAAGGCTGCAAAAGACAGGTTTAGCATAAAATGTCCCCTTTAAGTTAAAGCCACAGATTTTCCTCTTTTCCTGCCTTTCTCTCGACTTGTCGTTTGCTCTGCTGCTCTGTCTCCAGCTTGTCATCAAAATCCTGCTGGAGTTTCTTTTTGCTGAAGTCCATTTCTCGAACGGCTCGGTTGTATTTTATCCGCCACTCTCCTCCTGCAGGAGAGACGTACAATTTCAGAAAAATGTCTGACATTTGGGTGCATTTCCCCGCCTTTAAAGCAGGCATAGCGGGGTACACAGAAAGAGGCTCAAAAGCTCAGAGATGATGGATGCTGTGGATTATCGAGTGCACTGTACTGGCTCAGATGGTTATCACATTCAAGAAGCGACATAATATAATCTTTCAGGAAATAAAGCTTCTTTCATCAAAACCTGGCCTTAAGAGGTCAAAAAAATCCAAGGAAAACCACAAAGCAGCCTCCAAGTTTCAACTCTAATCTTGAATAAACCTTAGGTAAGAAATCTGAGCACACTACAATAGCAGTTAAAAGAAGGACATGTCTAAGTGGCACTTTCCACAGTTCTCTGCCAACCCTAATTCTGGAGCTGTCACAGGCTTTCAGAACTAAAACAGCGGCCAGGCAGGCATTCAGGTTCATTTCCAAGCCTTATCATTTTAGAGCCTGTCCATTTCTCCTTCACATACCAACACAGGCTCCTCCATCAGTGCTGCTCATTAGCATATATATAGCATAATGACAACTTGCAGGGCCACCAGCTCTGATCCCAACGATTACTTTCTCATTCATCTAAGAATTCTGATATGCTCTGTAATGGCTTGTCTGCTGAGGTGGGTGGAAGGGGGCGGAATTGGAGGAGGGGGAGAAAAATCCTTATGGACAATATGCTCTCAGCAGGCGCTCCATTTTCCAGCAGGGGGAAACCAATCAACGGCGGGCATTAGTTGTACGCCTGGGAGTGAACATCTTAATCCACTAGCGGTAAATCCCAAACTTGGAAGATATTCTTAACGGCAAAACTGAGTTGTAGCCAGTTCTGACCGCCATGTTTCCTGCTGAAACGGTCAAATAAAGCAGCTCATTCCTGCAGCTACAATTAGTGTGAGGGAAATTTTCAAACTGTGCGGATAATTCTGGTGCGAGTGATTCAGTAAATTATGCTGCTGACCTGGGCCGACATGCCCATTAGGGAGGCTTAGCCGAGCTGCTGCTGGTGTCAAAAGGTACAATTAATTAGGGAATTTGAAACAAATGTTTAAAAGCTCTGCCACTACTCCCAACGCAAGCCAATTTCTTAAATTCAGCTTCCTGTTTGGCCTTTGGATGGAGAGATGGTTTTTGACCGAACTAACCGGAGTCGTCGTCGTCGTCCATCTCTCCGTTGAGTTCTGATGTTTTCATTAGCCGTGCTTCCATCAACTCCATTTCCTGGGACTCTAACTGCTTCTTCATGGCATCAGATGTTACCTGGAGTGCACCAGTTAGGCCAGAAAACCAAAGATGAGTATGTCAGTTATGTTTAATTGAATTTCTTTGCAGTATGTTTTTGTGTATATCTGCCTGTAGATCCTTCATGTCCCTCTCCAGGCGGAGCCTCTCTGAAGTCTCCGTCTCCAGCAGCTGGGAAGCCGACTCGCTGGTGCTCCTCTCGTCAGCAAGCTCTGCCAGCAACTCTGCGATCTTAACACACACGAGCAGACACATTACGCAGTGTTGAGGCAAGGCTGCAAAATATTCACCACAGCTCCAACGCAAGTTACTGAACAAATCTTTGAGAGGAAAGAAAAGAAAAAGCAGAACTGCAGCACCAATCCCCCCACGCCATCCTCCTCAGAGCGCAGCGACAAGACAAAGAGACCCACCCTGCTCTCCAATCGATCAGTGTTGAGTCTCAATTCATTTCGCTCCTTCTCCACTCTGTCCAACTTCAATTTCTGCTGCTGTATCTCCTCCTGGAGCACAGATTACAGCCACTTATTTTACATAGATACGATACAGGTCAAACCTTGAATTATCAAGCACCAGAAGAAATGTCAAAATTTGATGACCGGTTGGGCCACACCAAATTGCCAGGTGATGTGGTGTGAGAGTGATGTGCAACCAAAGGATGAGTGGTGAAGGCGATAGAAAGGTCTGCTCACGTCTTTGCTCCGCATCTGCTCCTCTGTGAGCTGAACTCTAATGAGTGGCCGGACCGTGGTGAACAGCTTCCACCAGGGCCAGTCCTTCACGCCGCCATTCTTCTTGATGTTTTTCTGAACGCACCTGATTGCAAGGTCCTGGATCTACACAGATGTTGAGAGAAATGATTGTTGCTTGATTGTAACAGAGCAGCACAAATGGAGACAGATATATTTTAACAGCACATGTAAGCAAATCTGCAAAGTATCTTCCAACACAACTTATTTGGATATTGGGTTTAACTGCAGCAAATCGCTCAGAACATGGTTTTCAATTATATGAAATTTGAAGCTTCAGTACTAAAACAAAATCTAAAATTTGTATCAAATCACTCACTAAAACAGATAAATTACAGAGCTCATCTTCTGTTAATACGTCATCCTCACCCCTGATGAACAGAATTTGGAAAAACACTGCATTATTAATGTGTTTTCCTGCCCGCTTATAGCCAGGCAGATATCCCAGGACTGTGCCCGTCTCCTCTGGAGAGTTTTCAGCAGAACACGTTCCAAGGCTGGAAGCTAATTTTTGATTAATTAAATCAAACATGTCGGCAGCTCATTCCAAGTATTACACGATTTCCATGCTGCTTATGCATGAGGCTCTGGATCAGCAGCGGCGGCAGATTATGGGCAAACCCAATTAGAGCAACACAATTCACAGAATCAGGTACATTCTGCCCTGAAGGTACTCTCTACAACCAATTAGGATTTGTCACAGAGAGGAAGCTTTAACGTGCAACAAAATGCTGCAGTTCTCTGACAAAAGATTTAAACGGGTTTCACTCGTCATATTTAGTCTGAAAAGAACAGGAAGCAAACAAAAGATTAGGCGACATGAGCTCCACGGATAATCATCACATCAAATTATGACTGCGACTCTGAGTCACAATTGTGAAGCAAGATTAGGAAACAAAGAACATGTTTTCCTTTCTCTTCAGCAGATTCGTTCTGATGTGCGGATCCAGACTCGCGTGAAACATACAGTCGGAGTCCTGCAGTATTATGGCAGCATCACCCTCTGATGTCACATTGATCTGCCTTCTGATGCAAACCTTTGTGCTCAGTTTCTCGGGAAGTCTTCAACATGAAATAATGCTTTGCTAAAAGGACAGTCGTACTGATTCTGGTGTGGACTCAACATAAAATCGATGATCTGCTTTGCCCGGGTAATTTCATTGTCACTAGGAATTTCAATCATGGTGCAGCGGATGTTTCTAAGAACAACAGAACAGGATGTTTCATGAGCAGACATGAAACAGAGGATGCTCCTCCAGCGGGACGGCTCTTTTCAGATGTTTAGATGAACGGTGGTAAAAATCTCCTGCCTGCTTATTTTTATTATTTATTTCTGAGTTAACACATGCCTGCTGTACTGATTAAATGCACAAAATAAGACGTTATGGGGTTTCTGAAGGCTAAATTCCCAATACAGTAAATGCCTGCTGAGGTGGAATGACAGACTTTAAAAATGTTAGGTTGTCCCCTTGAGGAGACGGCTGAACAGGGGAGAAAAACACGAGAAGAAAAAAAAAACCCGATTTTGTCAGTTAATGTCACATGGGCTTGGCACAGATTCACAAGGTTAACATGCCAGGGAATATAAATCAAGGAAATTTGCAACTTCCTGTCACATCCATATACATCAACCAGCAAGTGTCGGAGAGGTTTCACCAGCGCTCGTTTGGTAACCGCTTCAGAGGCAAATTGCAGTCTAATCTGCCTCCTAAGATAGGACCACTCTCCAGTGCAAGAGGCAATGGAGCCCTATCAGCTTTCAGTGAGTAAAAGAAGTGGATATATTATGCAACAATTATTCAAACACTCAACAGCAGCATACTCTATAAATATTCATGGGGCAAAAAAAAAAAAGAGATGGAAATCAGTCAATAAGCCAGCATGGCTGTTTATCTCCTCCAACGCCGGTGGTGACTAATTGAATCAAGAAAAATATAAACAGAACGAGAATCAATAGGAAAGAAAGCCCTTCACAACATTCCTGCAAGGAGAGACTGTTATCGGTCATATTTGCACCCAAGAAACAAACATAAATGTAGCCTTCTGCAGCTGCATGAGTCGCACATAACAAAAACATTTTTAAAAAATGTGAGCGTGCACGGGAAATAAAATCAGAGTTAATCGTTATCTTTGTGCAGTCCGTATTTCAGTTATACATCCAGACTTTAGAAATAGACTCCGTAACATAAAAGCTTGTGGATAAGTTTATAAGTTCACAGATTGGCGGCACATTTTTGGCAAATCAACGAAAATCTGTTTATGCAGAAATCTGGAGTTTTTCCCCTGGGGGGGGGGGCACCTAGAGGGAGAAAAATATTCATTGCACCTTTAAGCCCCTCTCCATTCTTCCGTGTGCCTCTCGTTCATGAACATGCACCTCTAGCCAAACAACAGAGCTTAAACACACCGTTTTACAATCATTATCATGTTATGCTGTTTATTCACATTTATGCATTCTAAAGATTTCCATGAAAAATATCACCAACTCTGCATCAGCTACTTCCATAAATGCCTAAGACTATTGGTCTTAGCGTCTTAGCGTCTAAAAAGTGCTACTGGGTGACAATAATGTTGGGGGACGCCGAGTGGGGTGAGGGTGAGGGAGGCTAAGCACATTGTGCCCAGGGGCCCCTGCAATGATAATCCGGCCCTGCCTATGAGGACCCAATAATTGGGGCCATTTGTCATTTTTTAAGTATACTGTTGACATGTCTTATTTAAGCAAATGAACTGTTCTTCCCTATTTTTGTGAAAGTAGCTTTTTATTGTGAGTCATCAAACACCTTTTCACATTTATGTTTGTATTTCAGAATAAGTTTTTTCAGGGATTGTCTTTGTGACCAGTTTTCCAAACAATAGATGCTGAAAACTTTGGTTTCGCATCAATAGACTAACTAATTCTCCTCTTTTAAATTCAATTTTGAACACTATGAAATGCCATTTTTCATATTTTTGGACATCTTTTCATGTTTTGTACAGTTCAGCCACCCTTTTTAGCAGGTTTTTTGACATTTCATTTTCTTTCCTCATGGCTCAGTAGCTAGGAAAGTCATTGCAGTCCAGGGTTAAGTCTCACTGCAGCTATAAACCTATTTATGCACAAGCATTAATTATAATCAAACATGTCTCAGCTGTGAACACGTCCCTTTGTCCCTTTGATAACCAATTACACTTGTGTGTCAGCTTGTGTGTCTACTATCAGAATAAAGATTCATGTTGACTTTTGATCAGAATAAATTGCTGTACTTGACCACCATTGCTAAATAAAAGGTTTTCTGCTTCATAAGTCTTATTTTTCAAATACTGGACTAAGGTCATTATTTTGTGCCGAGCAATAACACACTAGCACAACTGTACACACCTTTTGAAGGTTATGATCAAAATGACTTCTTAGATCGCTCCGCTTATCAAAGGACTGAGTCTGGAATGATATTACCGAACTTGACCCAAATGAATGTCTTAGTGAATTAGAAACCCTTTAAGAAATACAGTTGGCAAACAAGTAGAACTATTTCTGTATATATGAGAGGAATTGTCAGAGTAAATTGTTTAAAAACATTAATCTATAAAAGATGTCAGACAGTTTTTTTAACTATTTAAAACAGAAAAGTTCTAATAAAAAGGCATTTTGCTGTTGAATTTAATCACAAAAATATTTATTTCAAATAAAAAGCAGAAAAATATCATAAATCTATCTAATTATGGATCATTTGGCTGCTTAATCTAAAACATAAGACCTGTGATGGACCGGAGACATGTCCATGGTGTACACCACTTCTCACACCAACTTCTGGGATCACCCCACCTTCCGCTTTCCATCATGAGGGTTTTAAATTGATTAAAATACTTGAACATTCAATTTAAAAAAAAAAAGATGAAAATGACTGAGCTAACCCAGAGGTGTGCAAACAGCCCTCCTCACACTCTGCAGATTAAATTCAATCAAAATTTATCTTTCGGGCTCTAGGCTTAACAGGTGTAATATGAATTTATGCAGTTATCTTCATCGTGTCAACTATGCATGTTAGAAAATATTTAATTCAAAAATAGAAAATAATATTGCAAACTGGGACCTGGGAGGTTTTGCATTCAGTTACCTGTATCTCAGGGTTGCAGAAACTTTAAACAAATTGGTTAAAGTTGGAAACAATCACACCCCGTGGAAAAAGCTGCCTATGTGGAGAAATTAAGTTGTGCAATTTAGTTATAAAATAATGATGCTGTCAAAGTGCTTTATTCCACTCCTATTAGATCTGATGGGACAACCAAGCTAATGATAAGGAAGGAGAGAGCCAGTAATAAAGAAAACACAGTGCACGAAAATAAAACTAGGCATAAGAATTAAATGTCTCTAAATTCCTACAGACAAGATGTACACTGAGGTGTTCACAATTTCATCAGAAGGACAGTCTATGACAGAAAAACATACTTTATTCTGATTTTATTCTGAATTTTTATAAATAAATTATTACACTACATTATATATGTATTTAGTTTGGTGCATAAAGCCACTGAGGCATATGTGCACCAGATTATTTATTGGGCATAGAGTAAATTTAATTCCAGTGCTTAAAATTTGGAGAAAACATCAAGATTTAGTGAAATTGAAAGTTCTTTTTCCAACTTTGTTCGGTGTTTCACTATGGGGGATCGCCCTGGCGTGACCAACTACGGAAGCTTTAATGACATCACGTCTGTACCTGACAGACCGGTTGTGCCGTGCCCAGGCTCCGCCCACCCAGTACATACACAGCCAGCCAACCCCTCCTACTCATTCTTGCTTTCTTCCCGTGAGAAACTACACTTTGCTCCCTCAGTAATCTTCAGGCTATCTTTGGTTAGTTGCTTAACTGTTCCCAGGCGTACAGTTAGGATACGTCGCCGAACGCAGTTCCAACGCAGTCTGGATTTGAGCTGTGTAAGTGCTTCTAAGTCACTTGGCACACTTCACTAGGAACAGTCACCGCGTCATGGCGAACTTCTCCCACGGCTACTTGGTTGTCATTGACGGAGTAGCATTAGCGAGTGTGGCTCAAGCTAACGCGTTGAGGCGAGCTTGTCCTGTGCTTTCTTAGCATTTACTTGCT